ATTACTAAGGTATTCTGGGTGGTTGTTTGATTATTGGAGTATGTTTTACAAGAAAATGCTATATCAGTTTTGCCACTTCAAAATTTCATGTTTATTTGAATGTTACTTGCCTTTTTTTTTTTTTTTTTTTAGAAATTTTAGAGTGAAAACTGTTAGAAGTAAATCATACACCATTTTTTTCCCAGTGTAATTGAAATAAATCTGAAATAAAATCAAATAGATATTAGATGAAACACTAACGAAAATTTGAAATGTTGCCTTTGCAGCTAACTGAAAAAATATTGATCAAATAATTAATTAAATAGTTAATTCAATAATAAGAGTTGAATTAAATAATAAGAATTCAAATACCAAATTAACTAAAACTAAAAGAGTAGGCTACATTATAACTATATAGAAATATAGTCCAAATCAGAGAGATTTATCCTGAAGACATGCAAGGCTTTTTAAAGCTAAAGTGTGTCATTTCTGCACCACTAGCAAAAATGGAATAGCAAAAATAATGTTTTCAAACAGATTTCCTGAACACTCCCCCTATCTGCCATAGGTCGGTCAAACAATTAGCTCCGCCCCAAATTCACACCATTGGTTGAGCCAGTGTTGCACAAACAAACAGAGCAGTTTACACTTTTTGGGGAAACTGACATCTGAAGGTCTATTTATAGTTGTTCCTACATCATGAACTGGGATAAGAACGTTTTTAAAGGGGTCATATGATGGTGCTAAAAAGAACATTATTTGGTGTATTTTATGCACCAAGAGCTTGTAACACTCCAAAGAGAAAGGAAAAATTGAAATCGCATCATATGACCCCTTTAACATTAAAAACGACACGCTTCACCTTTAAGACCTTTTTTTTTTGTTTGTTTTTTTTGTAAACCAACATGAGATCTTTATGGAAAAACTCTTAAACCCAAATGCATCTGGGGTCAATGGGGAAGAATAACCAAAACACAATCTGTCACTGTGCCCTGAATTATCTCGGGTTGATTATCTTAAGTCCGATTACATCACAGATGGGGGTCGGCAGTATATACAATCCCTCATCAATGAACACAACTGGACATTCCCAACCACCTGAGCTCAGCGGATCTCCCCAGAGGGCATCTCATGATGTCACAACATGCATTCACATATAGAACACAGTGTACCAGCCCCATGCACTCTGCAAGAAATGAATAAATAAAACCGCACTCCTTCTTACATGCAAGGAGATTATTTGGCCGTGCTTAGTGATGCAATGAGCATCTGCGTGAGAAATTAAATGCATTAACTCTATGAAGGTGCATGTGCTCTGCAAGCTCTTTACCTTATTGCAGTACAGCATCCAAACCTCATACAGTCTCTCGGTCGATGCCATTCTGCACCGCAAGATGTGAGCATGTAGGCAGAAATCTTCCAGATAATAACCCCGATTATATTATGGTCAATATTCCCGAGCCCTCATGGTGTCAACATCCTGCCAAAAGGAGTTTGCCCAACAAATCCCACCAATGGGTGAATCTGTGTTAATCCAGGGTGACAGATCGTGTCATTTCCCCGGTGCACGGTGAAATCACATCCATCATGTGAACGATACGAATCCCAGATGACTTGGACTTGTGCGTTTCCGGCAGTTTTCCACCAACAGCTTTTCGATATTCCAAAAATTCCTGTTCTTCCAAGCCCTGTCGACAAACACAGCACACGTTACAAACAGCAATGGATTTAGATGCTGCACGAATGCATTGCAAATTCCAAAAACGAATGTGCATGCCACAGATAACAGTAAATGTGCAATGCATGACTTTGAGAGAAGGAAAAAATATCCCAAAATAAACAGAGACCCATGACATCATCCCAGGCCAACTCAACATGTTCACAGAGCCAACATTATATCCCAGGCCTTGAAATAGCATGTAAACTATATTTTAACTCAATAACTTGACCATATCGGTTCAGATTATTTCTATGCATTTATTATGTATTTATGCCCAAAGATTTGCACATATTGCAAAGAGCTGATCTAGAACTCTGGGTGTTACTGTAAGATATAGATCCTAAACAAAAATACAGAATCTAGATTTAGATAGAAACTTACTCCTAGAGGAAACATGTTGTGAAAACATTCAACACTTAGATCGTCAGCATTATCTTGCCTAAACTATTTACTTCAGATTTAGATACTTACGAATACAGTAATATAGATCATAATAACAAGTGGCAGCGGCATATACAATACTAATACTGTGCATGAATAGATTAGCTCACTATCGCTGTGAAACTCACCTGCCTCAACAAAAGCAGCCCGTCGAAACTCCCGACCCACAGCTTGTGTTCTGGTGAAGAATCCAGGAATGTGGCATGAACTGAAAGCGCCACTGACATTTAAAGCATGTCGGTTTCAACCACCCAAACTAGCTTTTGACTCATTTTGTAACTAGATAAGCCTGACAGCCCGGATGCATGAGACGAATATCATCGCACTGGACTGCGACTGCTCGTTACAAAGCCACGGCACGGGCTCGGGTGGCTTGAAGGTGTGTGTGCTTGTTTGTGTGTGTGTGTTATTTTCTTCCCTAGATGTTTTACGACAGGCCGCACTCCTTTACGTTGCCTATGTGGAGCTCATGTGAGTCGCAAAGGCGTGGCTGAAACTGGCGAAACGACCAATCCCACAAAGGCTTGGCCTAATGAATATTAATTACATCATGCTGACGTTGCTATGTATGCTTCCTTGAGATATTTTTTGACAGTCACGTTGTACAAAATTTAGTTTAAAAATAATAG